AAGAAAACACTCTCATAGACTCAAACGACTCTCAACTAAAAACCACGCTTCCATAATGTCCTGAGACTTTGGTAAGTAAGTATCAAGAGGAGCACAACTGCGACCACTAGCTTTTGGTAACTAGTGAATCCATCTTCAGAGTGAGGTCATAAACTTTTCAAGGGACCCTCATAGATCCATCTGACAAGTTGACTCATAACTTCCATCCATCTTCAGAGTGAGGTCATAAACTTTTCAAGCGACCCTCATAGATCCATCTGACAAGTTGACTCATAACATCCGACAAAACGAACCAATGACTCAGCTTTTGTTGCAGGCAGTAACTATACCAATTCATAAGAAAGGAGACAAGAAGCATTAAATTAACTTTTGGGGAATCGCGAATCGAATACTATCTACAAATACCTTTCGAATATCTAGCTAGAAAGCACCCTCGGCACTCAGACCTGAATGCTTAACAACTAAGCAGATCTTCCCTACAAGTTTGGCAGTTTGGCAGTTAGATGCACTTTACCACTTCTGTAACGTTACTCTGGAACACGTAACAAAAACCGAAGGACCAACTTCAATATTCCGTACCTACTGTTGGCTTTTGCAGGTCATATGTGGATTTGATAAGAAATGGAAAAAAAAGCGTCAAATCGTAGAGAGAAGCAAAGTAATTAGAACAAGACCTCGATGACGTTAGAAGACTCCTCCAAGGGTCATATGGGAAGAAGCATTAACGGAGAAAAGACCAATGGATGTTGCCAAGGAGACAAATTTAAAAAACTGAATTACTGGTGATTAGTGAACATGTAAATGTAATTAGTAACCGCTAGTGGAATTATAGCGGCAGTGATATCGAATAGCGGCCATCTAGATATGTCGCTTGTATTTGGTTGCCACTTACTGGATGTACCTCTAACCACATGCCATCTTTAATTTAATTGTCATTACAAGGTAATTAGGAAAAATTTTGTAGTAACAAGTCGTTCAAAACACATCTGGTGCTTAAGATAGGTCGATAAATATCCAAAACTTACGTCCTGAGGAATAAAAATATATGTTGTACTACAATATGTGTTGAGTTGTGTTAAGAATCAAAAAATGTATTAAAAATAAATAAACTAAGTAAAATTGTACACAATTTGACAAGATTTTGTATTATTTTCAACTATATTATTGAAACTGAAAATTGATTTAAAATAAAGCGTGATTCAAAAAGAACGTCGGATTTGTTTTTATTGTTAGCAGTATTGTTTTTGCAATTTTTCATATGCGTTGTCATTGGGGTTTACAAATTGCAGTTGATTCAAGATCTCAAATCAATGGGCTACTCATGTGCGTTAGTTTTGCAAATTTCATGGAACTCAAACATGATATTCAATTTCATGGAGAGAGATATTTTTGTTCACGTTTGAAATCTCGTGATCTTTGGAAGCAAACAGTGTGATTTTTTTGCCTCTTTTGTGAAAATAAATTCTTTTTACAACCCTTTCAAATCCGGAACTTGTTTTGAATAACATTTTATAATCGTTATCTTCAGCGACGAATCAAAATTTGATGTGTGTGTAGGCGATTTTCGAAAAAGGGTGATTCGTACAAAATCAGAAGCCTTTCACAAAGATTGCATAAAGCGTACGGTAAAATTTCCCCAGGGTGTTATGATATGGGGGTGTATGAGGGGTAAAGGGGTTGGCAACTACGAGTTCATTGATGGTACTGTAAATGCAGAAAAATACCAACCAATTTCATCAAGAAGTTTGATTCCATCAATAAAACGAACTTTTGAAAATGAAAATTTTATATTTCAACAAGACGAAGCGTCCTGCCATACTGCGAAAACAACAAAAAAGTGGTTTGGGGACCATAATATGAAAGTTTTATCGTGCCAATCAAGTAGCCCCGACTTGAGTTATATTAAAACTTTATGGCATCGGATGAAAAAGACTTTGCGTAATAACCCTCAGTGTACAGTTCCAGCATTAAAGGCAAAAATCACCGAAATTTGGAACACTTTTACTCCCGAATATTGCAAGACTTTGGTAGATTCCATGCCAAAACGTGTAAAAGCTGTTATTGCCGCGAAAGGTGATGTTACTTCTTATTAATATTCGATTTAAAGTAAAAGATTTAAATGCGTCCGAATATTTATTTGTCAGGAAAATCGGTATTTTTTTGATATTTTGTTATGTAATTTATGTGAAATAAAAAAATAATTCATTACGATAGCACTTTTTGGTATAAAAATAAGTGCGTGATTTCATTTTTTAATCAGCAAAAAAAATCAATTTAAAATAAGTATAAATATGCTTTCTTAATATTTATTATTATTATTTCGTACATCGTCCGAACAATTAGTTGTTAGGGATCGTAGATCATCGGTGTGGCGGTTAGCGGAAATTTGTTCTAATTTAAGTAGTGGTAATTCTTGAGGTAATTATGACAAATGTCCATTAGAAGTGGTCATTCAGTGTAGACAACTCCATTTATGAAACCCCCCTCAATAATGCGGACTTCTAGTAAATATATAAAAATGCTGCTAACGCCGACCTTCGCAAAAAACAGTGCGGTGGTCTTGAAGGGGAAGGTGGGGGGCTAGCGCCGAATTAAACCTGCTCGTGCGATACAAGGCGAGATTTAGTGAAAAAGTCCGCGAAATCGTGTCCGCTTTTAGAATTTTTACTCTCGTCCGCCTTCGCTTTAGATGTGTTTACATAAATTTGCAATTCTAATGGGGCCGCCGTAAACAAATGGACCTTTAAGCCGGCGAACGGTTTTTGTTATTTACTAGAGAGGAAAAATAATCGTCTTTGACGCCGGGACCAATCAGCGTTCTTGATTTATAAGCATAACTAAATGTCACGTGAATAATAAAAGCGCCCTCTGGGTATTCATTCGCTGGTCAATATGTATGTAGAGTGTAGATATACCTGCGTCGCATGCGTTTGCAAAAATCGGCTTTCAGGTAACACATCTAATTAAAATATCTGTCGTCAATAACAATAAATGACGTTGAAAAAGTGGTATCATTTTAGAGTTTTGATTATTTTTTTTATTGCAAGGAAGGTTTTACTGTACGAACTGTACAATTTTCAACTAATCTATGTAATTGAAAAATGTAGTCACGTCAATATTTGGTATAAGCTGATTGTCATTTTCTTTATGCTATAATTCTACACCTAGGTGCCTGATTAAAAATCTAATGTGATAAGTAATTAGTAAAAATGTTAAATGGTATTAATTAATATTAATTACATAACTACCGTAAATTTAAGTTATACTCCTTCTTTATGGTATAATTCTATACCTAGGTGCCTGATTAATAATCGAATGTAATAACTAAATAGTAAAAGTATTATATAGAAATAATTAATATAATTACGTAACTACCATAAATTTAATGAATTTGAAAACGTTAAGTCCACAAGGACTTATTTTTGTATTTGTATTTTCTAAATGTTTGAAGTAATGTAGTAATTGAAGTAAGTATAGTTTTAGTCATTAGAAGTTACAAATTAATTAAATTGACAGATTTATGAAAGCTCCGGTATACTTTTCTATGTAAAAGTCAGAGAGAAGACGTTTTTTGGGCATGTTTGCAGTGCAACTGGCAATTGTCATTATTTCATATAAAAATTATGTTCTATATTTAAGTTTTTGTATTCTTTTTGTAACTACCGGATGGTTAAAAAAAATCGCTTGAAATTGTATTTGTTTTAATCAATTTTTGTTTGTTTTTGTCCCAATTATTCCACATATATATTTTAAAAAATCCTCTTTCCATATATTGTTTTTTAAAAACGTCGATTGAAGTTCATTTTATTATTTTAATGCGAAAGAAAATTATATGAAAAAATATAGGACTGCTACTATTTTCATTTCTATAACTCTCTCAACTGACCCAGCAAAGTACGAACATTATTACAAATTAAATATTACACTAACTTTGTGCACAATCGGGCTTACACACTGGCTTAGTGTTAAGCAATGTTGCTAAATTTTAATGTTTATTAACCGGTTACTACTTTTTCCAAAGTAAAATTAAAAAAAAATCCACGAAACCCTTTTAACAACAGTCAACGTCAAAGTTGTAACAAAGTTAATATGGTTTCAAGCTTTTAGAACAAAATTGAGCTTGGTTGTGTTTTTACATTGCAGGAATTTATATGAGAACGTGTACTGGATGAAGATTAATGTAATGAAGTCAGTTGGCTCCCTCAATTGTAATAAAATCAACTAAGATTTATTTATTTTTATAGGTATATTCAGAATCGAATGTTCAAAGTGGATTTAATTATTTTCTTAAATTTAAAAGTGTACTAAAATAAACATAACAAAAACAAGTTAGTCCATTTTTTTTTTGAAAATTAACCCATTTGTAGGAAACTGAAAAATAAACAACTTTTTGAAACAAAATTGTTTTGTTTCCCAAAACATTTTTTATAATAAAGTCAATTTCCGCAGGTAAAACAAACGAATGAATGAAATTCAATAGAATAAAACATTTAGTGAATAATAAATATAACAAAAACAAGTCCGATTTTTTTGAAAATTAACATATTTGTAGGAAACCAGAATATTTTTTATAAAAAAGTCAGTTTCCATAGGCAAAACAAACGAATGAATGAAGTTGTAATAAAACATCTAGTTGGTTGTCACAGAATGGTGAAACAAATATCTAAAAACCCACAGACTACCGATCTCTGCAGGCGGTGATAATTTAACAATTTTTTTATATATTTTTATTAGTCAATTCTTTAATGTCTAAAAACTCTTCTAAACTAAGTTATATATTATTTTTGATTCATAATCTATCCCCAGGATTAAAATTTGCCAAAACTTGTTAATAAATAATAGTCCCATATGATGGTGGTGACGTTGGATTTTGGACAATTTTCTATTTCCATTAAAGGAAAATTTATTCCAATGTATTAAATCTTGACAAATTTCATTCCAGTTTTTAATTTTATGGGAGTATTTAGAATTTAGGTGAACTTGGATTTAGATCTACAAACCTTTTTTAACAGTCTTGCCTCATAATGTGATTTCGCACAATTAAGAACCAACTAGCACAGACTTTGGTTGTTGTTATCACCGAAAACGCACAGTCTTGGGAGCTTGACACTCTACGAAAAGGTTGAGCTTTCGCGACCGATAGGCTCAGTTTTCTTCGCGCCGTTTTTCTTTCATGGCAGACATCGCGGTTTTAAGTGCGGTTTGCCCGCATCTAACAACGATCAAACCCGGCCTTTAGAGTTTAATAAAGAGCTTTTCGGGTAGAGTGCGTTCCGTGCGATGCGTCGCGTCGCAGGTTGGCGATTAAAAATATTGTTTAACTCATCGTTTAACCGAACAACCGCCAATTCCGTGTAATTTTTGTTGCCATGTGCCATAATTATTTTTATAATGGGAGATAAATTGCCTGTAGCGAGTTAGTAGTAATGGAGTGTGCAAATATTTAAGCCGATTTAGATGGAAAGTATGTTAATTTCGGATAAAAAAAATTATTTCCATTAAAAATACCAAAATTCTTTTTTTTAAGGAACGATGATATGACTAGCTAAAAATTCTATATCCACTACTTAAATGTTAATGAAAAATTAGCTTAACTCTAGACAAGACATTAGCAGTATGTTAATTTTGATTTGATTCCTACAAATTATACTTTTTCCTAACACAATCAAGATTACATAGAGTATAGCAATGCATTAAATAGAATAGAAATAGAAATCCTACACAAAGGATATTAATACTGTCAAAGGTACAATTAAAAAGTATATAACATTTGGCGTTATCATATATATTTCACAGAACATCGTAACAAAATATAAAATATATGAGCACAAAATTTCCTACATTAGTTGGTAGTTTTATTATTTATTAAGGTAATTATTATTATTTATTATTATTTACATAGTAATCTTTTGACATTTTTTTATATAAACTGGAGACATGACTGGGACTCTTATAAAAAAAAGTTGTAAATTTTTACAACGTTCACTAAAAGATGCATAAATATAAAGATGGGAATGACTTTATTCGATTTTCTATAAAATGATTTGTATATATATAATTATATACGGAGTCTGGCGGTATAATTTCAATTTATAATTGGCGTTGAATCTAATAAATTTACATCAACAAAAGTGGTGGAGCTGTAATAACTGGACACGACATAGTAGTCAGTCAAATTAGTTTAATATTCTTCAATTTGGCCCTCTATGTGATATAATTAATTAAAGCTGATAAAATATGGGGGATCGAAGAAAATACGTAATTTTAATTAAAAAAAAATCAAATTTTAATCATTGATTTTATATAAGAATAGCATAGGATGGGTGTTCCAATAAAACAAAATTTTGTCGTATATGTAATTGAATCTATTTTCAAAATTGCTTATCTTTTAATTTTATGATGATGTATGTTTGGTATCCACACTGTGCAGAAAAAAAGTTAGCCTATTTTTTTCTTACTTTCAATGAATTGCAACAGCCGTTAAGGTTGTCAGTTTGTTTTTTCGGTTTTAACAATAATGTTAACATCTTACTGCTACAATAAACCTTACTATTGCAATAAATATTTTTTCAAGTGCATACCTACTCAAAAATAAAGGGCTAGAATTGAAGTAGTAGAAGTTTTTTGTAAGTACCCCGATAACAAAAAATATTGCTATGTAACCAGCCAAAACCTATGAAACCTTTCTTCAATATAAATAGAGAAAATTAAAACATGACATACCCATTACGTGCTGTTTATCAGTCAATAAGAGATACACATTACTCGACTAGCAAATATTTTTAAAACAGCACTTCCAGTGCGTTTTGCTATATAGACAGAATTATTAAAATTTAGTAAAACGACGGCATCACTTTACTTATGAAAATTACTTGTTGCTTCTCTCTCTCCCTCATACCCCTATTATTTGCTGATTATAACGAATATGGAGCTGTTTGTTTGAAGGTAATAAAGAGTGATAAATATTGATGAAATGAGATATTTTGGACTTCCATTTACTACGACAATGAGTCAACTGGTCAAGTATCTCCAGTTGTCTTCAGGTGATTACTGAAGTTAAAACGTTGTGATTGCAAATAATACAAAATAGTTTATTGGTAAAAGTATTATTACAGGTTTAACGAGAAGAAAAAACAATATTTTTAAAATTATTGTTACATCCTGTAATAAACATTTACCAATACACCGTAATTAAACATAAAGTATAAATTTTGGAGTACCTTTAGAGTTTTTTTACAATGCATAACATTAATTAACATAACTAAAACGTTATTAAAAGAAATAAAAACATATCCTACCAATTTTAATGTACTTCTAAAATGGGAACAAAACACACAGTGTGATGAATTATTGATTGAAGTTAAAAACTTTGATATCAGATGGAATGCAATTGTGAAGTTTCAGTGGCAAATATCGGGTTCCATTTCTGGATCTCTCAAGCCAGCTAAAGTCTGGCACAAGATTATTGTCATTACTTTCTTACAAATACTTTATCAATATGAAATAAATTAAAATTGCTATGGTAATCTGTTAGCAGGATTTCACTGGATGTCGCCTGTGAGAGGTTTCTAAATAAAAATAGTTATATTCGTATTTCTCAATGTAAAGTTGATCACTTATGATTTTTAATTATTTAATGACACTTGGTTTGCCAAGTGCCAATCAAGTCTGATTATAACTCTGCGAGTCAAGCAATTGAATCACCTGAGTTCAAGTTTTTGTCCTTTCGAAATCCAAATTCGCTTATAGCAAATAAGTTGTTTTACTCAAAGTATCCATTGATTTGATTGCTATGCAATGCAAATGAGGTAATAGTAATTCATTGGTTTGTTAAGTTCGTTACGGGTTGAACTACTATATTTTTAATTGTTTCTATAATTTTTATATTGATTTCAATTAGATTCTTGTAAAGTAAAGTAAAGTGGTCCAAAAGGGATAAAAAAAAATTACGTCCTAGTCTTTAGGTTACGAGCTGCATTGTGCATTATGATAAAAGGGCGAGGAAACTTTAACCAAGTCGCCAAGTTGTCCGACACTTTTTGTAGGGCACTCAACATGATTCATTCTCTTTGTTGCTTCATTGCGACAACCAAACACAAAATATCCCAGCGTAATATGGTGACATTTTTATCACCGGCCGCTGCTGGTGCATTCGCCAGGATGTTTTATGACTTTGCGCAGTGTTTAATATCGTGATACGTTTCGGCTTAATCGAAAAGGTCCGTTGACATTTCGTATCGGGGTAGGAGCACCGACGCGGCCTGAAAAAGATATTACTATCGATCCCCTTCGAGGGTTCCTCGCGTAAACTTTTTTCCAAGCATTTAGGTATCATCTAAAAGGTTTAAAGAGTTCGTTTGCCGATGACGAGGATACAGAAACAAATTCATAGAGCTTAGTTAGATAAACTTAACATTACTTGCAACTTTAGTATTTAGATATTCAATAAAATATCGCCCAATACACAGGGTATTTTTTAATTGAATGTCAATAATATAGGGGGCATTTTTGGGTCCAAGAAAACTTCATATGAACATCTCAACTTTTGAGGCACATTTAATATCTGTAATACCACTTTAGATATTTTAATGAAATTTGGCACACATGTACTATGCATCAAAATGCATTACTTAGCGTAACGCTTGGGTTAATTAGGTCGCCACTGCACTGGTTAAATTGAGAACTTTAGTTGTCAAAAATAAAATATCTCTTTAAAACTAAATATCTAGTTTTTAGTCACCAATGTCAGAAAAAAAGACTGTACTTTTTGCTTTTGTAGTTTTAAAGAAATAACATAACAATAAAAATTTTCTTATTAAAAAAAACTGCTACGTACTATTAATAATTTTTAACAAAATTGTCGGTTAATAAATAAATTACAACTTTTTCCTGATATTGCCGTATATAAGTATACTTCCAGTTTTTCTTATTAAATCACAAAAAGCTCTTATACGATCCTTCAGCTCTTCTACAGTGTTACTGGGGTGCGATAAACTAGACTTTTAAGATGTTCCCATAAGAAGAAGTCCAAACTATTTAACTCTGGGGACCATGGTTGAGGATCGCTACGAACTACCCATCATCATGATTTAAATATTTTGTTACTGCAACACTAAAGTGAGCAGGCGCGCCGTCATGAACGAATCACGTTCTGCTCCTAATTAAATATGGTACTTCTTTTAGCAATATTGGCAAATCCTCTTCTAAACACCGACGATAACTATGGTCATTTGCCCTTTCTGGCAGGACAAAGAGTCCAATTAAGTAATTTCCAACAATTTCAGTCCAAAGATTTAACGAAAACTGTTCTGGATCTTTAAGTTCTACAACTGCGTGGGGTGTTTCATGAGTCCAAACATGATTATTGTGGAAATGTCTTATTGCATTCCTGGAAGAGTTTGCATAATCTGTAAATAGTATTTCTTGTTCAAATCAGGGATAATGCTCAATTTTGTCCAAAAACAATTGACAAAAATTAATACGCAAAGGAAAATCTCTGTTAAGTATCGCTTGGACTAGTTCAATATGATATGGGTACAGTAGGAAATCATGTAAAATTTTGCCAACCAAGATATTCAGGATTTTCATCAATGGAATTTAAAACTGCTTCGTCAATTTCTGAAGTTCTTACAGTCCGATGGACCCCTTTTAGCCTAGACCATTCTTTTTTAAAATAACATGCTCGGATATTTTAAACATCCAATTAATAAGACGCGAAAAACTGAATTTAAAAACTGATGTCAAACAACTGTCAAAGAACCCCCTTGACATCCTACTGTAATGATAAGGAATAAATACACCTCAGACTTTACGTACTTTGTATTCGTACTTCCATTTTTGAACTATCTTAATTACTTAAGTTGGAAAAAATGATAATAATTTTTAAGTGAAAAGCGTATATCGGATTGAAAAAATCAATAAAATTGAATTTCTTTAGAAATGATTGAAGATTGTAGGAATAATGTAAATCAGTGGCTATCAATGTCTGCCAAAATATACATGTGAAATTCCGTACACCCACCACTGGTATATTTTTAAAAAAATGTAGTACACCAAATAGTGCCTCTTGATACATAGTACATGTGTGTATGTGCAGTTTTTTTGAAAACTTTACCACCCGGTATCTCAACAGTTAAGACATTTAGAACATATCTTCTATTGTATAAACGAAAAAATTGTAGGTATATAATATAGCAAATATATAGGACACTCTAACCTA